ATTCCGGGTTCAGTACAAGTTAAGCTCAATTGGCAGCATTTGTGACAATGTTGATGACCACCAAATTACAGTAGCTGCGTTTTCAAATTTTGGGATATTGCATTTAGAAATGTTGAATGGAAACCCCAAGATAATTTTATGTGCATAAAATCTTATAATGCACATAAAAAACTCTTAATTGAGGTGGATATTTTTTTTCATTCTGTATAAAATGTGCATAAATTATGATGAAAACACATTTAACAATAAAATTCCTGGATGCGTAACTAAAAACGTGACTTCGCCTCAACAGATCATGTGATTGGGCACTGGATTAACCAGCAGACCGATCACATTGCACACCATCTAAAGTATTGTTTTAGTCAATCTGAAATGCCTGAGCAAAAATCTGTCATCAAGATGATTTGGTTTAATTGCCTCACAGAACGGTCTCACATGATTACGGTCTCAAACATTCAACCTCTGAACACAAGATAACATGACAGCGTTTGTTATTGCATTTCATCTGTGCAAGTAATTTATTATGAAGAAAAAAAGTCACAGACTTCCCTGGCTGCAGCAACTTTTTATTATTATATTACTGATACTTTGTGCAGGTTTCATAGGAAGTTGTTCTCTTGAATAGGGCCGATCTGTAAATGTTAAAATGCTAATTTTAACATATCGTCTGTAAACGATATGTGTGCTAAAATGATTTTGGTGTGAAAAATTGAATACTAACCTTTTAAAGCTTAAACAGCTTTACAGCTCAGCTAATACAACATGGTTGGCTTCTCTGGGTTCGGGCCAAATTCTGATCTCGGAGCCCTCCCCTCGGACAGCACGCCAAATACGCAAAACCTTTAGTCTATTTATTAAATGTAAGTGTGAACAAGTGAACTTCAATAAGGCTGGATAACACTACGTGAATTTTGGCCAGATTTTTTTTCCCTGGTTTACAGTCTGGAGGAGTTGACACTAGTTACCGAAAGTTAGATCCAGGCGTATCAATCATGTTTGATATTTTGAGTTGATTTTAGAACACATTGTAATCTTTTGTCACGTGGCTTTTAGTAATTAGGCGTTTGTTTCTACGCAAGTTTGTTGTGTTTAGAGCAACTTGAAGGTCTGGTAGTGAGTGATCCTCAGTAATTTAGTACATGATTTCTAATTTTTCTCTGTAACCATTTACAAAGTCTACAAGTATATGACGCCTAGTGATTTAAAATCTCTTCAGATTTTAAAAGTCATGTACTGCATTCCAGCCTTCAATGTAAGTGCATTTATGAATTTGTAAGCTGCACATTTCTGCTTTTAAATCCTCCAAAAATTGGCCCATTCTCTACTATTGTTAGTGCCTCACCGTAAGCTCCAGGGACGAGTTGAAATAAATTTTTGGGGTATGCCACAAATGCTGTTAATTAAGTTTATTGAACGCAGAATATTCCTTTAACTTACTTTAGGTCTTTAGGGCCACTGAGATGAAATTTGAGGAACCTTTTTTTAAAAAGATTTGTGCCAATATCAGTTGTTTCACAGTGCTCAGAAAGCCACTGTACTTCATGTTTCAATCTGTCCTTCAGCCAGTTTTTCAAAAAGAGCTTTTTTACATATGCATGCAACAGAATACCAGTTTTCACAACTCTTGAATGGGGAACTTAGCCAATATTGAATTTAATGTAAGCCAGCATTGAGACTCTGTAAATATGAATGGGAGGGCGCTGGCCAGATTCAAGGCCACCATGTCCCATTCAGGGGTTTAAAATGTGTCATACTGTCAGAGAGATGGTATATACAGAGTCCAAGTTTTAGAAGGCATGTAAAACACATCCCCTGTCTTCATTTTGACAGATGAGGTGTTAAATAAACACCTCAGCCCTTATAACATATACAAACACCCTTACAAACACATTTATTCCTGGAGGATTGACAATGCTTAACACACACACAGATTCTGTAGATCCAGCCCCCTCCTCTCAGCCTTTATTCTCCTGTCGGGGGTATTTTGAGTTCTCCAAGCTCATGTCCTTGAAGGACGGGAATGCATCATGTGATGTTTAAACCTCACAAGGTCTACTGATGATATACATTGTCAATCTTAGATGGCAGCAAAAGTTTGCAAGCAGCTTGTTTCTAAACAGAAAGTCAGTTAATAGCTAATTATAAATCATTATATGACATTAGTAAATGTAGATTAATATATACAAATTATTAAATAATATTAGAATTAATTAATTTAAAATTGCGATTTGTATTTGTGTGGAAGCTGTACCTTCGCAAGGAAATGAACTTGAACTCTGCCGTGTCTGTTTTGGTTCATCATCCCTTTTTTATGGTTCCTGATGAATGTTAGCAGAGGATGTAGAGTTATCAACACAAGTAAACCCAACAAAGATGTGAATTCCTTTTATGGCACTATAAAGGCACACATGCATGTGTGACGCATTGGATAACAGTCACCAGCAATATTACACATGCACTATTTCAAAGCATGTATTGTTTGTGGATATAGGCGGATAATTAAAGACTCATGTAAACACCCTCAAGCCTCAAACATCAAGATGTCCAAGCGAAATGAACGTCTCTGTAAAGTTAGCAAGACTAAGTGAAAAGAGAACTGACCTTGACCTATATTTCTTACTGGATCTTCAAAGGCAGAAGTCATATGAAAGTACTTGTCACATTAATTATAATAGAGGCAGCAATGAAATGATTGGTAAGCATGTGAACTCTGATCATCTTTTTTTGCGTTTCTATGCTGAGAGATTTGTTTCAAATGATGATTAGTGATAAATCAGCTTTGTGTTCTGTTGCTGTGCTCTAAATGGCATGAAGGGTTTATGGGGAAGAGATTATGTCCTCCTCTGAGAGAGAGGCTCTTTTTCACAGGACCTGTGGGGGTTTTATTTGCTGAGTGATGATAGCGGTAATTACCTTTCTACCCCTGGGTCACATCTCTTGTCCTGACACAGCATGTCGGTGTGCTGACAAGGTCCCCCTGTAAGTGCACATATCTCTTATTGAAGGCCTTTTATGCTTTGACTATGTTAAATAGAAAACCATGTACTTATAATACATATCGGTTTGTGATTTTCACACCTGTTCAAAAGTTTTGGAAAGAAATTAATACTTTATTCAGCAAGGAAGGATACATTAAATTGATCAAACGTAAAGACATTTATAATGTTAAAAAAGATTTCTATTTCCAATAAATGCTGTTCTTTGAACTTTCTATTCATCAAAGAATCCTGAAAAAATTATCAAGGTTTCCACAAAAAAATATTGAGCAGCACAACTGTTTTCAGGATTGATAATAAAATCAAAAATGTTTTTTTAAGCTGCAAAGCAGCATATTAGAATGATTTCTGAAGAATCATGTGACACTGAAGACTGGAGTAATGATGCTGAAAATTCAGCTTTGCCATCATAAAAATACTGTATACAGTTTACTGTATACTCAAATAAAAAACTTATTTTAAATTGTAATATTGTCAAATTTCACAATATTACATTTCACTGTACTTTTGATCAAATAAGTGCAGCCATGATGAGCATAATTTCTTGGTTTCTTTCTTGGTGACTTATTTCAAGTACAATAAAAAAAAAAAAAATTATTGTAGTGTGTAACTTCAAATCTGAGCCATGACTATTTATTAATTTATTATTAAAATTAATTAATTACTATTTTTTTTTACTGGTTTATCAGTCAGATTAGTATATATAATACATTATATATATTAGATGTTTCTTTTGACTCCTTACAAGTGAAACCTCCCAACAGGCTAAAAAAGACAGAAAACAGCCCTTGAGGAGTTCACAGTTTGCACAGCATCTGCTTTGGCTGTGTAGTGCTAATATGTGGGGTTACGTGACCGATTTGTCAGTTGATCTGCAAAAAAATACACTTAATTGGACTACATTTAGTGAAACCCAAACTAACTTGCATTTAGTGTTGAAATGCAGATTATCATCTGGCCTGGTAAACACACATTGTTGACTAAAATCAAAAGGTGAAGTTGTACAATTCAGCTTTAATAGTGAAGCAAAGAATATGCTGCAAAATAAATTAGATATAAAACATTACAAGTACATATTTTGATTTGTACAACATGGCAACATATCACCATATGTTGCATAACTCTACATAAAACACAGTAAGTTCCTTTAATGTCTTGTACTGTGAATCTGACAAAGCAAATTGCCATTGCCAAAACATTGTTTCTATCTCTCTCTTTACTGAATGTTTCTGTCAAGAACAATGTTTGAAGGCTAGGTTTCAGTTCAGAATCTAAGACCTCTGTTATACATTGGTAGAGACAAACACTGTTGAAACAGAGAGAGCAAAAAGTATCTTAACATTGAGGCTGTTTCAGGAAAAAACAAACAAACAAAAATGAAAGTTATTTTATGTGCTATATTGAGTTAATGGTACGTTATGTTGGCCATACACAGTTGTTCCTAATTTGAATAAATTCACAGAGCTGGGCATTTTGGGAATTTGCTCTGAGAAAGGGATGTGTATGGTCTTTGGTTTACTATGTGTAAGTTCCAAATGCGTATGGTTCTAGATGATATGGCAACTAGAATGCGGCCCATAATGCTCTGGGGCTCACATGGTACGAATGTTGGCTTAGTGCAAATTTATATTAGTTTATCAACATTCAGAATGTTTAGGAGATAATAGCAATATAATAATCATAATAACAATAATAATGTAGTTTGGCTCCAGCAGCTGGTCAAACAAATTTTTGTTCAAGTATTTCAAGAAAAATGAAATAAACACAACTACTAAACTACTAAATTATGTACTAAAAAATGACACATTTTTGTGTGTGAGAAAAGGGATGGCAATAAAAACAACATTAAACAAAAGCTAAAAGACAAATAATAATAATAAAAAAAGAACATCCAGTAATAATACTTGACTTGCATAGAGTTGCATATTTTTTTCTTCTTCTTCTTCTTCTCAGAATATATAATTCCACACTTCAAAATAAGTCTCTTTATTGCAGTGCAGAGAATGAGGGCTGACACTTTGACCCATGCACCCGTTCCCTCTCAGTCTCCCTTCATTAAAAAAAATATATTATGCTTTATTCTCCTCCGTCATTTTTATATGAAAGTGCCACAAAGACCGCTCCAATAATCAGTCCTATTGGAATGATCGAAAAACAAATAGACTGCCCGAGTTTGCAGTTCAAAAGTTTGTGGGTGAACACAGACTGCCAGTCCTCTGATATGTGCTTTGTACCAACATTGAAGTGTTTGTTAGGAGTTCATGGCGTCTTATGAGCAGCCACACTCCTCCACTATCATGTTCTGGATGTCTTTCTTAATGATCTTCTGCTCTTCATTGTAGTAGAGCATGGACATGGCCCGTAGGCGCGTGGGTACGCAGCACGACTTGATGTTGTTAAAGGGGCTGTACCCGCGCATCCGATAGTGATTGATGACGGTGGAATGGAAGGAGAGGGCAGAGCCAGTGATGCTGGCCACATGGCTGGGACAGTCGCCCTCGCAGTAGTTAGCGTGGTATCCAGACGGAGCGATGATCCAGTCGCTCCACCCGATGTCCTTGAAATTGACGTAGAACTGCCGTTTACAGCAGACGCGGATTTTGCCGTCACACTCTAGGCCACGCTTGCTGCGCCGGTGCTGGTGCTCCTCGGCTGGCTTGAGCACGACCATGAGGAAGGGTCGGTGAGATTGTTCTCTCTCTTTGCCCTTGTTGCCTTCTGCAGGCACCAGGATGGGTACAGCGCCGGCTTCGGCACACATTGGACAGGAGACATTGAGACTGAGCAAGCTGCTGTCCCTGTCCAGCAGGGTCTGCACCATGCGGGGCACCGGTAGTGTGTGCCAGCCGCTGCGCCGCGTGTCCACAGTCTTCTCGGACACCACCGCTTCTTGGGGTCCATCCGCAGAGCCTGGGTCAGCTTTGCCATGCTGCAGGAGCTGAACAGACACCTTCCCCTTCCCTCGGCTGCCCTTGGCAACTTTAAGGAACAGCCACACGTTGGCCTGCTCCACCACAGACAGAGTGCTGCCCTCCTTAGAAATGTCAAATTTCATGACGTCAGGGGCATCTCCTGTGGAAGATACAGATGAGGCAATTGGTTAGCTTTATGTTTGCATTGTATGACACATCACATTGTAACTTGTGACAGTTGAAAATCTAACAAAAAAGGCGAAATAAAAGGAAAAAGAGGCTCAAACACTTTCTGTGCAGATTTTGAAGGAAAATCCACAGACTTGATTTAAAAATGGAGCTAAGAGTACTCCACAAACAAAAACTGACAAATGATTTAACTAAAAAATATAAACAAGAAAAAATATAATTGTGAAAATTCTCAAAATGTTTTATTTTCACCCCACATACCATTGATGCAGGTGTGCAAAGCATAATATATTTTTTAGTTAAAAACAATAACAACAACAAAAACTAAACAAAAACACGTTTATGACTCTAAATAATTTTTTTAATAATATTTTTGTTTTAGTTTATGATACATGGCATATTATGAAACTTGACACTTTTGATGCGTACCTGCAGTAAACATGAAAATGTTGCTAAATAGCAATGACAATAAACTGAAATTTAACATTGTTTAAAACATTTTAAGGATACGAATCAGGAAATTAACTTAAGAATAAAATAAAATAAACAACAACTAAAACTAAATTAAAACTAACAAGAGATTTTCTGAAACTGAAAATAAAATGGAAAAAAATATATATAAATTAATTAATATAAAAAAATCCTGGTACTCCACTCTTAGTTACTGAAAGTATGATCAATTGTACCAAAATAACTAATAAACGAAAAGTCAAACGGTGGGTATGTGTAGATTTTTGTGAATGGTGGCTGTTCCAATTCTATTCTATGCAGAGATTCTGTCTGGATCAGTTTATTAATGACAAACTCTCTCTGTTTCAGCCACCAGATGAGAAGCAACTCAACATTATCAAAGCACATGTAATGCCTGCTACACTAAACAGTTTCTCTCTTTCTGTAAGAGAGGCTATTTACTTTTTGCAGTCCTTCGTCAACACATAGCCTCAGTCCATAAAAAACATTTCCTGCTCCTAAAATCCTGGCACTCCACTTGTGTACATAAAGCATGTAGGCTATGTTATGACAAGGGCCTTCCCTATAACTTGCACATGACTGTCTGCTATAAGCCAGCTCAGCATCAGTAACCATTGCTGATTTACAGACCCAACATACTGACTCTCTTAAATGACTCTCTGCCAACCCCTCCTCAACAGGACAGCTATTGATTCAACGGTTTAGTCAAGATGTCAACATTAAATATATCCTGTGTTATCTGATATAAAGGACAGTCTAGCATAGCTGTGAAAAGACCATCTATTATGCTCATCAATGTGGCACTGAGATATCTATCTAGACAAATACAGTTGCAGGTTTTTCTTTACTCAGTCATCTCATATGACACTGTATATAATAGCGATTTATGAAACTAAAGAAGGTTCAATACTAGGGGTGTAACAATATTCTAACCGAACCGAAAAAATGCGATACACCACCCACGATACGTATCGCGGTCCACTTTTTTTTTTTTTTTTTTTTTTTCTGTTTTACGGTTTAGTCAAGATGTCAACATTAAATATATCCTGTGTTATCTGATATAAAGGACAGTCTAGCATAGCTGTGAAAAGACCATCTATTATGCTCATCAATGTGGCACTGAGATATCTATCTAGACAAATACAGTTGCAGGTTTTTCTTTACTCAGTCATCTCATATGACACTGTATATAATAGCGATTTATGAAACTAAAGAAGGTTCAATACTAGGGGTGTAACAATATTCTAACCGAACCGAAAAAATGCGATACACCACCCACGATACGTATCGCGGTCCACTTTTTTTTTTTTTTTTTTTTTCCAGTGTATCGCGCCATGAGCACTGTGTTTTTAAGACGTCGCTGCTTTCTGTTGCGTCTAGCTGCTTAAATTCAAAAGGATGAATTACTATTTAAAGCTCACGAAAGCCTCTGAGATCTCTGGCCAGTCTGTTCTCTTTATTATATCTCACATTGTCAAAAAACGCCCACAAAACACTGAATGGACTTAACACATAACGGGAAGAACTATTTTAAATCTGAAGTGTGTAGTTTGGATGCTAAAATACTTTGTCCTATTCCAACTTAATACACTCTCAGAAATAAAGGTACAAAAGTTGTCACTGGGGCGGTACCTTTTGTACACTTTTGTACCTATTAGGTTGTAATATGTACACTTTAAGTACTAATATGTACCTTTAAGGTACTAAAATGGACACTTTAGGTACAAATATGTACCTTTTGAAAAGGTACCGCCCCAGTGACAGCTGTTGTACCTTTATTTTTGAGAGTGTATGCAGATACAAACATAGCAGTTAATTCAACCCCAAAACTATAAACGCAGAGAGTCTTTGAAAAGACTTTTGCCAACTCAAACAATGGCATGAGTTTGGAAACATTCATTATTTTTGCAATTCTGTTTGGTGAAATTACGCACTTCACCTTTAAACTGAAATGAAAGCCAATATTCCCTTACTCTGTGGATTAAGTTGTCAAACAGATCAGTGAACAATGCAGTGCCACCATACTAATATGGAATCTGTTTGAAATGTCTGTTATGCTCTTATAGAACCGGTTAATTTATCAGTCGCAACACAATTCTGCTTTGAGAGTTGTTGATAGTACAGACTGGAAATTTTGCCAAGTAATGAAAAATCAAGAATACAGCTCAGTAACTGCAGGTTAATGGGAACGAACAATATTTTACAATAAATGTATTATAAAAAATACTGCAGATGTTTTCTGAGAAAGAAACAGCACAGCACTGGTTTCTTATTTGCAGATGAATGTGTCTCTCTATCTTTGTGCCGCTATCTAACCTGATCTCTTATCAGAACACCTCTAAACTCAAAAAAGAGCTGCACTGTGTGACCAAGTAAAAAGAGTTGGCCTTTCTTTCAATATTAAAAAGCAACTGCTCTTTTATATGCTCTTTTACTGCTCCATTGTGATTTGGTTCCTGAGTATGTCTTTTAAAGTTCACTGTAGTTGTTTTGTCTTTCTTGTAGGTTTAAACACATGCCACGTGTCTCTGAGGTGATGAGGTCTGGGTGAGGTGGACACTTCAGAAGCTTGTAAGTAGTACTGCAGTTTCGGGTCGAAGGTCAGCTGTGCCCACTGTCACGTAACACACCGAATTATTCCTCATATCATATTGTCACTATTCTTTATCTGTTTTATATGTTGAAATTTTGGTATATTGTGTCTGTGCACTGTCAATATCAAGGACAAGATTGTTTTGAAAATAGCAAAGTTGCATTAAAATCATGTGTATAATCTGCTTTATGCACAATGAGAACAACTAGTTGAGCAGTGTTGGGGACAGTTACTTTTAAAAGTAATGCAATACAATATTGCGTTACTCCCTAAAAAAGTAACTAATTACGTTACTTAGTTACTTTTTATGGAAAGTAATGCGTTACATTACTTTTGCGTTACTTTTTAAATATGAGCAGGACTTGATTGTTTTTAATATAAGAAGTTCTATTTATAGCAAATGTAAAAGCCCTTTCACACCAAAAAGTGTAATGAATAAACCTCAGGCTGAAGGAAATGTAAATTCACGTCTGTACAGTAGAACGCAGGAGAAGAAACACTCTAACAATTGTGCTTAATTGTTTTTTTATTGCTGAAGTTTATCTAAAGTCATTTTTGCTTATTAGTATGGTTGAACTGGATCATCAAAGGTCAGCAGCAAAGACATTGGTTAATAAAATGGGATTAGATACATTTGTGTTATTTAACATATTTAATTATTGCAGGTTTGCGTCATATTCTGAGTTTAATTTATTTTGATGGATACTAAATCTGTTTTTTGTGAGTGGGATGAATTAATGCACATTCACATTTAGTCTAGAACTACAGTAACATCATGTTCACACAGCGCACACAACTCCTCTGCACTTCCAATTTCTCCCAATATGAGGACAGGAGAGCTGTCAGTCAACAAATGGGAAAACAAAGTAACTGGCGTTACTTTTTTGAAAAAGTAACTCAGATATTTTCTTGTAAATTAAAAAAGTAATGCGTTACTTTACTAGTTACTTGACAAAAGTAATCTGATTACGTAACTCGCGTTACTTGTAATGCGTTACCCCCAACACTGTAGTTGAGCATGTTGAATATCAGAGAAGGTCAATGGATTATTTACTTGGTGTTACATTCATGCAGTGGGTCTTTTAATAAATGAAACACTGCCAAGAGACGTGAGAGAACCCAGTAAACACTTTCTGATGACATCAGGACTGAAAAAAGTATTTCTCAACCTTTTTTGGCGTAGTATTGCCTTTATCAACATCAAACCAAATACCTACAAACTAAATGTTTGAACTTTATTCAACTAAATGCAGCAGACACTATGGGAGAAAAACCCAAATAGTAGCTTCCTGTCAAACCAAAGCAGTTTAAACATATAGAATTAGATTTAGTTTGATATTTGTCTGAAGACATTTGATAGGATGAAAATAGAAAAGATAGGATTAATAGATTAAAAAACCCATATAATTTCACTTTTTATTTTTTTTCTCTTTGACCCCTTAGAACCAACTTATGTACCCCTGAGGTGCATGTACAATACCATTTATACAGGTATATATACAGTAAAATATACAGTAAAAACATAAATATTTTGAAATATATTTATATTTTTGAAAATATTATTAAGTTTATTCCTGTGATGACAAAGCTGAATTTTCAGCAGCCATTGCTCCAGTCTTGAATAAAATGATTAATAACTTAGAAAAAAAAAAATGTTACTGACCCAAAACTTTTGAATGATAGTGTACCACTGGTTGGGAATCACCAAACTAAAGGTATTTAAAATTGATGTCAGATCATTGAATTACTTTATAAAAAGACTAAAAATCAGTTGCTTTTGTGTTAGATAAAAACAGCATCCACCCAAAACTGGTGTTAACAAAAAGCCTCACTGTAGTCGCATGTATTGTTGAACCAGGATGTAAAAGTGATATCACAGTCCCTGATCACTACAACATTCACTTGAT